CAGGTAGGCACAGCCTCCCAACCAAGGCTTGGATTGCAGGTGCCCACCATTTTTATTTGTTAAAAATGCTTTGAAGGTTATATGGGGCTTCTGTAGCTTGAACCCCCAATTTCTGTTGGAATCCCCAATTTCTATTCAGACATAAATTCTCAAAACCCTTCATTTTCATCCCCTCCCCCATTATTCTGATACAGCAGTTTCTGCTGGGAGACTACATATTTATTTGCTAAATGGGCCTCACATTTTGCAACAGTAAACCGTATAATTTGGGGTCATGAAGAGTTGGACACGACTTAATGACTGAACAACAACAAAAAACAGTATAATTAGGTGCACAGGGCTCCGGACAGTTCTTCTAGTATCTCTTGCAGATTTGTATTGGTTATGCCCTCCCATAAAATTCCTGCTAATAGTGATTATGCTGGCTGGGAGTGAAGATTGTTATCAGATTGTTCCTCATTCCAATGCCAGCCAGTGGTGCTGTCCTTTCTTACTGTGTACAGGACGCATCAAGGGCAGGGATTGGTGTTTCCCTGCCCTCCCACCAAGCATCACCAGGTGGCAGAAAAATGTTCCCTCGTCACTCTTTTTTAATGGGGGCTGGAGGCAGGTTTTGAGGGAGGCTGGGCTTGTAGTTTAGCTCCAGTCTTTTGCGTAGGTGCATGCAAAGGGAGCCTGAGCTAATAGAGGGGCTCCTTTTGGACACAGATTTACTGCTAAGCTGGAGTGGCACTAAACTTGTATTTCAATTCTCACCTGATCCCCAGAGGATTGGTAAGTCTTCCTTCCCAAACAGCTGACAGATGCCAGCTCTCTCGATTTTATTTCACAGGGCTGGCCTATGTCTCTCTTCCCCCACTGGCTGCTTAGATGCTTTTCAAGCAGATCTAGGTCTCCAAGACAGGGATCGAGTCAGGTGCCTGTCAGAAACAGAGCCCAGTTTGAAACTAGACTCTCTCACTGCCCACAGCTGAGTGGCCCTGGAAGATAGCGCTCAAGGCTAGCAAAGGGGAGATCTGTACCAGCCGAAAGTGGCCAAGAGGTGCTGGGCTAACCTCACCTAACTGCAACATGGTTGGCGAACCATGTCAACAGGCACTTATGCCAAATCTGATGTGGCTTGTTTCCTGTCAAAGGGGGAAAACACTACTTATCATTGGAATACCTGGTTATTGCTTTAGGTTGCCCCAGGTATGGGTTGGGGATGAGATGAAGGCAACGTTTGGCTGGGCCCCTTTAAGTGAAACAAAGTAATGTTGTACCCTCAGACAAGTGGTGTTATATTGTTTTCATTTTGTGGAGCCACCCAGAGTTGTTCTGGCATTGGGCAGCCTAGAAATTCAATCAATTAGTCAATAAATGGCAGGGAACAAAAGGTTGCTGGTCCAATGTTTTGTGCTGCAGTTAGGAGGAAGTGGGGAAAAGCAGGTAGATGTTATGAACGGCACACCTTCCTATGTTATTAGTTTGCACTCTCAGACTAGAGGGCTATAGGTATTATTATTTGGTCTGGGGCTCATACTAGAAGCCTCAGGTCCTCCCCCGGTGGGGGATTCATGTAACTTTGTATTTCAGTTGTTATATTTACTATATATTGTAAGGCTTGTTAAGTTTAGATCCTGGAAGAGTTGAATACTCATACTTAACACATGGGGGCCACCTAAGGCCAAGAAGCTCAAATAGGAATGAAACTGGTCACGTATTGCCACCTAGTGGTGAGCAGAAAGTATAACCACTGCAGAACAAAGTCAAATAACTAGTTTAATTCCTCTTTAAAATACAGTACCAGGTTTGGGAAGGAAATTGTCATGTCAGAAGTAAAAATGGCCTGACCAAGAGTGTGCCTGAAGGTGACACAAAATCAGTGCCTTAGTCGTGGCATTGATAAAGTGACTGCTGTGGCACTGGAATTTGGGGGAAGGAAGAGTTTGGCAACCTTGCTAAAGCTCAAGTCCAGGTAGGTTAAGCTGGGAAGAGAAACTTCTGGGCTCACTTTTCTCAGCAGGATTTTGTAAAATCAAATGGCACTTTGTCTCTTTTGCGAACTGTCCATGAGAAAACAGCCTCTCACAGATCTTGAGTGGAAATAAAAACAATGTGTTTGTTCCCAAAGCTGGCAGACCCACTGCCTCATTGGGCACTGAACAAAGGCTTAGCTTGATCAATTTCACATCTCACTCTTGTCAAGTTACTGACCCTGCATGATCTGGGTCTCCAGGAGGTTAGTTTCCAGGAGCTCTTCTTCCAAGACCTTTGGTGAATTCCTATTTTTGAAGCACTGGTTGGCTAGAAATCTGATGAATCCCTCTGTACCCCCCCCCGCGCCCCGCTTAAGCCTTTCACGACAAATAAGGCTCAAGCACAGTTTTGTTGCACATTGTACACTGTGCAACCCCCACCTTTCGCCCTTCAGAGCTTCCAAAACCTGTATTGGCTGCATAGCACAACTATTGTATTACCGTAACATAAAAGGAAGTTGTATGTTGCCTTAAATCTCCACAGGAAACAGCTTCTGTGAGAAAGTACCTGTTGCAGAAATACGACACTGGGTGGGAAAGCCAATGAGAGCATCACTTTGGATTATTTCCCATGCTGTCATACAAATTTTGCAGGAGTGTGAGGAGGATGCTATGGGGAGTATGGGACAGGAATATCCTACAGGCAAAGTGGCCAACAGTGACATGGGATGGGTGTAAACGTCACAGACAGCAAAAGGTGGTCATGTATGCAGACAGGAACGGACAGATGACTATGCAGCTCAGAATCAAGCTGGCCTTCCTGTGGTTCTTCTGTATCAGTTTTTGTCCTTGGTCATTTGAAAGTGTGTGTGTGCGTGCGCATAAATATATGCTGTAGTCTTAGTACTGTGAACATTATATGTATTATATTTACCCCAGAATTAAGCACTGCTTCTGCTTTTACTCAGATGCTGCTTCTGTCCTTGTACTGACACAAGACAGAGGGCAATTTTTTGCACCCACAGCTCAAACTGCCCTTAAACAAAACGAAACGAAACCAAACCCTAAGGATTAGTTTGATGTGTGAAGTTGCACACTTCATGCCATCAAAAATCAGCAATTTTGCCAACCAGCTTCGGTGGTGCAATCTGGGTGGGAGCCATGCATGATACGTGGATGGCTGACTCTTGCCATATAAACAATCACCATCTGCTTTCCTTTTCCTTGACTGGTAGGACTTTGCTCTCAAGACATTCACATCAAAGTGCTTCATCTGCCTTTGGCCTCCCCATATACAAATATGTTACTGTCATAGCGTAGTGGACCAAAGTACACACTGTGAGGAAGAGAGCTTCCTCTTCACCACCATTCCAGTTCCAAATCTTAGCTTTGCCAGGAACACATCTGGTATATTTATCTCCAACTACTTTTGTTGATATTTCTTCTCCCCATGGGACACTTGGAATTGGAGCCCTGGAAGAAAGTTCATCCAAGCAATTCTTTCTTGTGCTCACTCACTTATAATACTTCAGATCTGGAATGCAGCAACCATAACCACAAGGAAAAAGCCAAATCAGGTTTGTTCAAGAAGAGGCAAGGAGCGAGATTTTGAGCAAGTTATCTGTTCTTTCAGCCTCTGCTTCCCCACTCTGTTTCTGTAACGTGATGGAGCACTGACCTACTTAGCTGGATTATTGTTAAGTATGACTGAGATTGCATGGGGTGTACTTTCAGCACTTTAAAAAGCCATATATAAATACAATGCATGATTATTTATTATTCATGATAAGCCCTTGTTGGAAAAGGGGGGATGGTGAAGTGGGTGTTAACTGCTACCTCTTTTCCAGGACCAGAAAGCCTGGGGGCAAGAGACAGATCACCAACTCTTCACCCATCTACCCCCAAATTATTGTCACAAAGCTCTGCTAGACTGCCCCATTTCCGAGTCCAAGGTGCAAATCTCATGTCCCTACCCCAAGCAGAGTCACAGATTTTGCTTGTCATTGCATCTGACTTTAATTGAGAATCTTTCAGTATTAGCCAGAAACTGACATGTAAAAGGCTCTTACTGGCTTAGGTGGTGGCCCTAACAGAAGTTATATAACTAAAATCAAAACAAAGTGCATAGAATAAACAGTCACCGAAAGGAGGGATGGGGGGAGGGCTTGAGACCTGCCAGGGCACAAGCCCAGGTTTTTTATGGGAAGGGAACAGTCAGAGCTAGGAAATGTGTCTCAGTCCCATTTTGGGAGGTAGAACATTGAGTCTACCCTACACAAGATCTTAGCTGGAGACCACATTTAGGAGAGAAGGTTCCAGTAGTGCCTTGTCCAAAGTCTCTGCAATGCACCGCCTATTGGCAGGAAGTCCTCTTGTGTCCTAAGTGTCACTGCCCTGCAAGATTAGTTGTGTCCAGCTGGCCATCTTAGCAGAGAAACAGGAGGCGAGAACAAGAGGAAGAGGGTATTGTTCAGTGTCTGGAGTAGGTCCAGATTGATTTGGTGAGTCATGCCAACTCAGCGGAAGGGGTTCAGGCACATGCGGAGAGTGTGGATGGCAAGAGTTCTGCATGCATATTTTGGCTTTGTGTCCAGCCCTGTGAAAAGGTTGTGGAAGCCTGTAGGTTTGTAATGGCACATAACTGAGGTGTTTTCCAAGATAGGAAGATGCCTTGCAAGCCAAAGGGAGAAAAGATGGATATGCCACTATCTTGGTTTGCATGTTATAACCCTTGTGCACACACATGTACATCTAAATGTGTAATGTACGTGCATGCACAATAATGATGACATGCAGGCACATAAACTATAACTGGAGGGAATGGTGATAAAGTTCAAGCATCAGTATTTGACAGTGCCAACAAAAATGCAGGTCTACACTGCAAGAGGTGTGCATGCTGCAGGGGAATGTGTGGGCCTATACCATCTGCCCAAGCACGGCATCCCCCATTTGCTACCTCCAGGAAAGCAGGGAGGAGAGCTATGAGATATCAATAAAGAGAAACAATCCTGTCATTGAACAATCTCTCTCTGTGACACAACAAGCCTTCCATGGACCCATCTATCAACTTGCCTCTGAGTCCCTCCATGGAGTGTGTACTGTATGCATGTGTGTGCATGCGCATGCGTGAATGTGTGAGATGCCTACACTACATGATTAGCAGGGCATGTTACCACTTTCAGAGCCTGCTGCTAGGACCAGATCAATGACACCTGTTCTCCTCAACCGGGTGAGAGACGCCAAGCTTACATGACCAAGCAGCACTGGCACGTCTTCTGCTTGCGTCTGCTCTGCCCCTGCTCTTGACCCTCCCCCTGGTGTGATGCTGCAGGCTGGAGGTGGCATGAGGCAGGATTGGCATCAGTGGTGATGTAGATTGGGGCCTCCTGGACTGAGGCTCCCTGGTGCTTTTGGATCCCAGTCTTGGACTGCTGCTGATCTCCTAGAGAAATGTCCTGGGGGGCTACTGTGGTTTTCAACTCATTCAACAAAGGTTGTTGCTCAGCACCAATATTTTCTTGGATTTCGGTGGTCTCTGCTACTCCTGAAGCCAAATTAGAATCTCCATCTTCTTTCAATTCTTGATTCTCTGAACTTACAGCTGCATCCAGGAGTGGTTGAGCAGAGTCTTGGTTCGAAGTCAGCAAAGCATCAAGAACAGTTGTCTCTTGCAGAATTGGACCCTGGTCTTTGTTAGGGGTTGGGGTTTGATCCAACAGTGTAGGGATCTCTTCCACAAGAGATGGAGAGGTCTTTCCTGCAAGAGTCTCTTCTGTTTCTTCAAGGGAAGAGGTCTGGTCCTGCAGAGAGGATGACATGTGCTCTACTACTGTTGGTTGGGCCTGGCCTTGAAGTGATCCTTCTGGGAGAAAGGATGAGGTCTGATTTTGAAGTGACGTATGAACCTGATCAGTTAGAGGTCCTCCCACCTCCTTGCACCCTAGAACTGCGGGTTTCTGGTCCTGGAGGATTAGTGGAATTTGGTCTGGCCCAGTTGTTGGTGTCTCCTTCTCTTCATCCTCAGATAATTGGATCTGATCTGATGGCAATTTATCAGCCTCAAGAAGAAGCAGTATTTGAGACTCTGTAACAGTTGGCATTTGGACTTGCAAAGCTACTGGAACTTCTCCCATAGAAAAATTACTAGCTTCTTGAAGGGATGTGATTTGATCAGGTAGAGGAGACAGTTGATTAGTAACAGAAGGGGTTATATCTGGAAGGGGACCTTTCATCTCCAAAACAGGCTGTTCTTGATCCAGATCAGTTGGCAAAATCTGGGGGGATCTCTGTCCTTCATGTAATGAGGAACGAATCTCTTCTGGCAGAGATGTGAGCTGGTCTGGAGAGGTAGGCAATATTTGATCTACTACAGAATCATGATGTTCTTGAAGAGATGTTGAGATCTGGTCCAGATTTTTTCCATTAGCTTCATGTACAAATGATGGGGTCTGGTCCAATAAGAAGTGTTCAGTTTCTTGAGAAGTAGTATCACCTTTTAATAAGAATGCTTTCTGTTCTGGAGAAGAAAAATGGTCCTGCAAAGATGATGGATTTGATTCTATAAAGGATTTTGGCAGTGAAGATGGGATTTGACCTAGAAGAGAACAGTTGCTTTCTTGCAATGAAACAGATTGATCCAAAAGGGGTGATGGACTCTGATTTGGTAATAATGACTGTTCTGACCCTAGGAGTGGAGTTTGAGTTTCCTGAAAAGATGATGGATTCTGTTCTGGAAGGAATCCTTTAGTATCTGGCACTGAAGGAATCTGATCTGATGGAGATGAAGTCATGACTGAATCTGTAAGAGACAGCTTAGCTTCTTCCAAAGTGTTCAGAATCTTTGTTTCTTGCACAGAAGAGATCTGGTCTGAAACAGGTTGTCTGGTCTCCTCCCCCTCTCCTGCTTCTCCCAGCATTATTGTCTCTGATCCATGGCGTTCTTGCATCTCCTCCTTCTTTGTGTGATTTGCCTGCTTCTCTGGCACCGCTTCTTCTGTAGCAACATCACAGACTGCCAGGTCTATGGCAGGCTCTACCTCCTTTGCAATTTGCTCTGGTAGTTCCTTCTGCCCCAATTCCATCAGAACTGCCTCTCTGACCAAAGAGCTTATCTCATACTCACTATCTGCCTGTCTCCTGGGGGAATCAAGGCAGATAGTCCTGTCCTGTAGAAGACTGGAAGGATTTTGCTGATCATGGGAAGTTGGGGACTCTCCCTCTGGGCCATCACGGCTGCCAAGATCACTCTCTAGGTGGTTTTCGGTAGCATAGACAATTTTCTTTTGATCCACCTCACCTGAACCACTCCATTCTTCACAGTCATTCCCCATGTTATCGTGGTCCCCTAACTCTTCCTCTTTTCTAATGAAGCTCTGTGTCTGCCCAACAGCATCCATGCTTCCCACTTCCTGCCCCAAATGATCTCTGATGACCATCTTTTCCACTGCCAGCTTTCTTTGGTGGGCAGCAGGGACTTCATTAGAATCAAAATTCTTCATAGCAGGAACAGCCTCGGTTCTCCCTTGATGAGGCTGAGGGTCCCCACCCTCTACAGCCACAGGGTTTACTTTTACTCCTGTTTTTTCAGAGCTGGATCCACTGCCAAAAATACCTTTGGAGAACAAAAGGAAACATCAGATATTCTGGTCCTGATATATATTCTCTTTTAAAATATTTCCATAACACAGAAGCCAACCTTCTCCAACTTAGTGCCCTCCAGATGCATCAGAAATACAATTTCTAGAATTCTCAGAGCTGACTTATGTTCACTGGACATATCCACCAAACAAGTCATACTGGTTTACAGTACAGATAATGGTGTGCTGCATTATGGCTCTCCCCACCCCGCCCCCTCCAAAAGCTGGGACTTGTAGTCTGTGTTGGTGATAGGCTTCTTGACAGAAGTATAGCTCTCAGGCTGATGTGGAAAAGGAGATGGTCTACCATCAGCTGGTCTACCTCTGTAATGATGCCCAATCCTCTTTGTCCCTAGTTTGGATATGGCACCTGCCAGTCTTGCAATGCAGACAACTTTCTTCAAGTGAAGCTCCAGCTTCTCAGTCCAGAACAGACAACTGACAAACCAAGCAGTCTGTACATTGTGATTTGTTTGTTCTCTGACAGCTTTTCCAATTGCTGTTATACCACCTACATTCTGACTGGGTCTTGCCAGTCTTTACACTGCTTTCCTTCTCACAGTTCATGCTATTGGTCCAATAATTTAAATATCTGGCTTCTAAGAACAGTTGATTCATTTGCTCTCCTTAAAAGCGTAAAGGGGAGAATTGAAGGAACGCCAATATTCTGACTTCCAGTCAACCCAGCTTGAACTACTGGATTGTTTCTACTTCTCTGCTTCACAACAGAGCATGACGCCAGAGGGACAATGTGTTAAGAAACAGCAACATAATGCCCTCCAAAGTGTGCTGGCTGGGGATGATGGAGACAGTACTCCAGCAATCTGGAGCATAGAGAAGAGTATAGCATCTTGAGTGGTGCAGAGAAAGCTATTAGCCTGATCTCTAGAATACACCAGGATGTTTTCTTGCCTAACACTGATTTAGGTCTTATTTATTTATTTGAATTTATAGTCAAAAGCAAACCAAGTATAACTATCAAGAAATCTGCACAACGATATATAAAACTGAGTATCTAATAGCAATAGCAACTGTAATAAATTTGGCAACTCTTCTGGAAATATCCACAGACCTATCTGCTGTTCTGTACTGGCATGAAAATGGGTTAGGAAAGGTGTTATTAACTGAACTCTCTATACCATGTTGGAGGGGCAATGCAAAAGCATGTGAGAGACTTCCTATTTCTTCCAACAAACATGGGGAAGATGTTGATATATCTACCTTCCAGCAGTAAGGATGACAAAACATTATAGTGTGTAACAGTAAATGCTCTTCTATGAGATGGGCAGAGATGGGCAGAGACTATTTGCTAAATATTTAGCATGGGAGAATGACCTCCTAAGCAGGTCTCCTTTGTACAAGGTGGAGCTTTACATGGGTCACTCAGGAAACTACACTGAGGACCCTTTCTTTCAGCTAAGACGAGGCTCTCTCAAGGCCAAGCTGATGCTCCATACAGTTACGTAAATCTGTGTGGATGGTAGTCTTCCATGAAGATATAAAACGGTCCTGCAGCATCAGGGAGGCTAGTGTATTACCAGAAGATTGGCATTTAAACCATGATCTGGCTTCTCTTCAGATCTTGGTTTAGATCTGTGCAGTTGTGTCATTTTCATTCATTTCAATGAGGCTTGCATCAGAGATCTTCCCTAGGGGATTGTGCATTAATGGGAGGAGAGAATGCAATTTAGATTTTCTACTTCAGGCACCAAAATAACTTGGGCCAGACTTATATAGCAGATGAAACAACCTTTGACTTAACCCTTTCATCCCTGTTTCCAAATCTAAAGTATAGGCAGCTGCATTTACTTAGATCTATCTCCCCAACTTTGTCTGATCCCTACTTCCCTTCCTTGCAGTTCCTATTCTGCAAATAGCCTCCTGGGTAGGGATCTGTCTACTAGCCAAGAAGCTCCATTAAGTGCAGATACACTGGTGGCACTGAAGAAAGTGCATAATAACTTTATCTTTCCAGTACCACTTTTATGTGATGGTTTTCACATTTGAAAGATTCAGTTAACTCTTTCCACATGAGATGTCCATTCTACCTAAGAATGCTTACATCTTCCATATGGAATCTGTGCATGTTGTAGAAACTACAGTGTGCATCTATAATGGACCCCCTATGTTTTGTAGAGCAGTGAAAGACAGGCTGAAACCCACAGCTTCATTTTAAAAGCTCTCTAAAAGCACCCTCTGGGAAAAGGACAGTTTTTTAGTCCTCTGGGTAAGTAGGAAGAGAAGGGAGAGAGAAAGGAGGAGTGGGCAGAAACAGAGAACTGAACTGGGGCGGGGGGGTACCACAAAACCAGAAACACTTTTGGCTGGCTTTGGCCCAGAATGACCACAGCCTACATGTCACCCTTGAAGAGAATCCCAGATGGCAAGCAACTTTCACAGAATATGACAGAATATATTGGAAGAGAAAATATTCAGCCTAGCATCCCCTACACACTCCATTCACACTAATACAAAATCCTCACAGCACATCCAAGAAGTCTGCAGAACAGTCTCCATTAATTTGGAGGCTATCTGAACCACTTACTGCAGTACTGGGTTGAAATGCACACTGGGGAAAGGCTAGTTATCCCTTCTATCCTCAGAAACAACGTCTTTAATAACTGTTTGGTAAGGACGCTTTAAAATATCTTCATTAACCACTATGGGGGCTATTTTAAAGTTGTGTTTCGGTGAAAAATAGTGCTTGTGTGCATATGGAGGGAGTTCCCTCCAATCAGCTGCTAGTCAGAGGTAAGATCTTTCTGATAGAAATGGAGGGGGGCGCAAAAGTCAGGGCTTTGGCAGAAGGGGGAGGCCTTATGAGGTAGGAGCTGTCTAGACTCCTCAAGGACCACGTGAACCTCATGAGGTCTGCAAGCTAGAAGTTCCCCATGCAGCAGATTTTGGGAAACAGCATAGGATAAGTAATCATTTCATGAAATTGGGCCTTACTATAATTCTGCATAAACTTAAAGTGCACCTAATACACACTGAATTCTCCCTCATGGCTTAGCATTCTAGTGGTCCATAACAGCAGTGAGCAAATCTGTCTTTCAGGGATTAATCTCGCCCATTAATGATCTTCTCAGCAAGAAAGTCTGAAGAGCCCCTGAGAACCACAGGATTTCATCTGTCATGAACTCTCTGCAAAATAGAGTATTTTTTGCCATCCCCATCGCATACCTCAGTTGCTCTTCTAAAACAAGAGTGAATCTTTAGAAGTCCTGAGCCCAAAAAGAAGCAGTCCGCTTACAGCGGAAATCAAGATTTTTTGTGATGGCAATTTTTCTACCACTCCATATCAAAGTCCATGTTTGCAAGAAATCATGTGACAGATGCAAACCTGCTCAGCAGTTTTGCCTATTGTCCTCTTGGCTCTGTGGAATTTGGACTATAAATTTCATCTTTATCACCACCTAAGGATCTGGCCTGACCCCCTACCTAATGGCAGATCTTGCCAGCTGCTGATACCCACCATCACCTGACATGTCTCCATTCTCCAGTTGTCCTTTGGCTGTTGCCTGCATGGGCTTCTGAGAAGGAAGAGAAGCCAACTCAAGTTTGGTCTCAGTAATATTTCCCTCTGTAAAGAAAGCATTACTTTCAGTTAGGTTAACCAGGTCCCCTTGCAGGGGGAGAACACTAGAACAAAAGGATGTTTTTCATAGCTCAAAAGGCAAAGCCTGGTGAAAAAGCAACCTAGACCTTTTGGTACGCTTGCTGAGCCTGGCAGTTCAAAGTCAAGCAAAACTAATTCTTCCAAGCAAGGTTCTCATAGAGTCATATTTAACAAGATTTCTTCAGATGAAAGGGGTACAGTTATAAGAATTTCAGCAACTGAACTATTTCCAATTTAGAACCAATTTACCCCCCAATACATGAGAGCAAAGACTTCCTTAATTCTTTTCTAAAAGCTTTCCTGTGAACTGATGAGTGAATGGTTCTTTTCACTGATAATGGATAAGCTTGCAGGTGACTGTTCACAAAATTATCCCCTGAATCTGTGTGCACACAAGTCTTATGGATAGCTTTGCAAATAATATTTTGTCCTTTAGTTTATTCATCATTTTGATATTTTAGCCTGGTGAAAGAGATTAATTCAGGTCAGAGACCTCAAAATCCTGAGGTCACATGAGATAAAAGACTACCATTCAGTTGGGCAAGGCATCTTTTAGGCTGATCCATAAGTATGAGCATAGGTCTAGGTCTGCAAGTACTGGACAATTCTAAACAAGACATAAAATCATCAGTTGTAACTCACTTAGATAAATGTAGCCCAAATTCTATGAAATGACCCACTAGTTATCTCCTCTGCTAGTTAGTCTATACAAATATTACTATTTATTTCAACGGCAAGTGCATAAAAGAAGAATTCCAAGGCTGATTGTGCCCACTGTGATAAGGTACCCCAGACAATGCGCATCTTACCAAATGGAAAATTACTCACTTTCTGGAGAAGAGGAAGCTATCCCATCAATCTGAAAACACAAGGAAGAAATTTGATACAATGATAGTCAAGGAGATTTCACATGAGCTAAATACACTTTATCTAATCTAACTTGATCATTCTCAGAGGAAGCATTGTCACCATGTTGAATAGGAATACAATATTTTTTCTTTTCAAGGTTAAACTTGTGCAGGGGGGAGGAATGAGGGACACTTGCCAGATTGCACCAAAACCCTTTGGCCAGAATCCTTGTCATCACCTGGACACCACTTGCACAACACCCACAGCAGTTTTGTAACTCTTTAAAACAATGGACTCATTGCTTGACTTAACAGGACGTGTATTGGTTCACCCCTCATGCTACCCCAAAGTGCCCAACCTAAAGCCCCAGGTACCAAATGTGGTACCCAAAAACTGCAGATCACACCTTGGAAACCACCAAAATTTTTATTGCATCAATTTTTTTTTAATGTAGCAGAGGGTGAAATGATATTAGTTATATTTACAGATTAAATTAAATTAAATTAAATTAAATCAAAATTATTTTTCGTCTGCTACTTTTTGAAATGTAGCTCCTGGCATAGTATTTAAAGTTCAGATGTTGCCCTCAACCTGGAAATGGTTGTGCAAATGTAGATTGCTTGGTTTTGTCTTAGCATGTTCTAGCTGTAACTTAGTTGCTATATTCACATAAGACAATAAAGTAGAATTCTGTAGAATCCTGAGCCTGTTGTTCAAATGTTCAAATGCTTAGGTCCCTTTCTCTCAGGAAAAGCTTCAGCAATCACAAATTCACCATCAGCACAGCTTCCAAAACAAGGTCTTGGATTGTTGCTCCCAAAGACAAGAATCATAGTCCAGCTTCAAGCCCTGGCCTGTCCAGCTGCAAGAGTTTTCTTCCTGCTAAAAGCCTGATACCGTTTTCACTGGCAGAAGAACAAAATGAGAGGCCTCCTGAGCCTGAACAACGCAACCAATGGCTTCGAATAACATATCAGGAGCTTCATTTCAAAAAAAGGGATGAGACAAGAACAAAAGCTAAACTTATCTGATTTCATTTACATTTGAACATACTTATAATGAAACGAGATGAATTTATTTAATTATGTTAAAAGCTAAGCAGGGTCAACCCTTATTAGTACTTGGATGGGGAAAATCAGGAAAATCCAGGAATGTAGGATCGATTGAAATTTTTTTTAGAAAAACAACACTTGGAACAAGGCCATGGCAAACCACTTCGGCATCTATATTAAGACAACTGCATGGATGTGTCCACGTAAGTCACCAGGATTTGGACACAACTCAAAGGCAGTGTTATTTTTTGATACAATGACTTCTTAGGTATTTGCTTCTTCTGTTACATTACAACTTACTACTGGGTGACAGTTTCTGGAGGACTACCTCCACACACTTGTAAACCTTGAGGCCGCAGAGAAAGGCTCTTAATCTGCTTATATCTATAGTGACATAAGTCATAATTGTATGATTAGACATTTACAATGTGGACTGTGTGGGCCCAGTTGGTCCAAAACGCAGTGTTCCACATACTGACTGGTGCTAGCTGCTATTGTCATGTTACTTGTGGGCCTTTACACTAATTAGCAAAGGTTTCCAGATGCAACTCAATATGCTAGTTTTGACTAATAGGCCTAGGTACTTTCAGAACCTCCCACTCCAACCAGAATTGGCCTGTCTGAGGAGAACCTCAGTTTCATGAGGTGATGGGGCCTGAAGCCAGAAACCACTGTTTATCAATCTAGGTGCTTATACCCTGGAACAGTCTTCCTTTAGAAGCTAAGCTGGCCCCCTGGGGATGGCCTTCTGGAAGAGAGTGAAGGCTGTACACTTCCGGAGGACCTTCAGGGAATATTGTATGCCATCTGGAACCAGATTTTATTAGTCAGTCGTTTAATCTGACACTACCTGTTTTTTGTTTGATTTATTAAATTGTATTGCACATTTCACTACGGACGTTTTACTCTGTTTCTCTGTTGCTATACGCTGCTGTAAGGCTAAAAGATTTGGCAGCATACAAATTAATACTTAAATACCTTCACAATGCCATCCAGTGATGCCTGCTTCACCTCCTTCAAAGACTGCTGCTGCTGTCCCTGCGGAAGATCCGCATTATCTAGGTGCTGCATTTGAGACTGAAGACTTCAGAGGGAGAAAGAATGAGATATTAGAGACACCATCCTATGGCCTTTGCAGACCGTAGAGGAATGCAAGAGAAGCACTTCAAAGCACATTGGTACTGAGATCAAGGTTCTACATCAGAGACGGGGAACTTGGGTGCTCTCGGTACTGCTGCACTCCCAGCATTCCCAAGCAGCACGACCACTGGTGAACTGAAGTTCTACAGCATCTGGAGGGCGAGCATTTCTCCATCCCTACTGGTAAAGAGACTTCTCTTTTAACAGGAAATTGATGGACTTGGGCACCATAATACATGCCTTGATATCTTCTAGAGCAGATGACTATAAATGTTCTACTCAATGCCTGTTTCTGATGTGTTCCTAAACTGCATCTGACCCAAATTAGGGCAGGCATTTAACCTGCTTTCTAAAAAACAGTCAACAGTAAGCTTGGCACCATGAGGAAGCAAGAAGGCTGTTTCTTATAATTTGCCTTTCTTCACAAAGTGAATGAAAGGCTTTATCTGCAAACCTCACTCACATGGACTTGCAGAGAGGAGACTTCAGATTCCCGCTGAAGTGTATAGGAATAAGAGAACCTGGAGAACCTGTGGTCCTTCAGATGTTACTGAACTCTAATTCCCAGATCTAGAGGGCCAGACATTCACCATCCTTCATGTGGAATTTTAAAGATTCCTGAATAGTACTATACTGAATAGTACTATACAAAAGCTGGCTTTTGACATAAACATTTGCAAGCTGCTAAGACAGTTACAGACTCAATGTATTTATTACTTCAATGTATATGACTACTCAATTAATTATTGCTTATTGATTTAATATTTTTGTTTTATTGTATACTATTATTATTCTATTTGTAATCTGCACTGAGAGCTCCTTGGCTACATAGCAGGACAGAAATGTTAAAACAGATGTGTCTCATTGTTTAAGTGGATTTCAAGTCCCATTCCCTATTTGAGAAACAATTCACCCAGATGTCTTTTAATACTGTGAGTTGAGCAGTATTACTTTCTTGGACAACTGTTGAGTAGTTTCTTAAGGTGTGTGCGTGTGAGAAGACTCTGCTACATTTACAATGGGACTTATGTAGGTTCCCTTGTTGTTTCCCACCCACCTCCCAAAAAGTAGGATTTATATGAGCCAAGCTTGATTCCAGTACCTTTGTGGTTCAGCCATGTAGTTTTCTTGGCAAGAGCCCAGAAGTGGTTTGTCAATACTTTCTTCCAGGATGCTTTTCCAACTTCCTAGTCTAGTCTAGTCTAGTCTAGTCTAGTCTAGTCTAGTCTAGTCTAGTCTAGTCTAGTCCTGGCATTACCTGGTGGCCTCCCATCCAAATACTAACAAGAGTCAATGCTGCTTAGCTTTTTCAGATCAGCCATGGCTGCTAGGTGGCTATTTTTGCACTGCCTCAGGAGTGCTGCTGAATCATCACTCAACTGAACATTCCCATCCTCCTCCCCTTCAGCTCCTTCAGGCCAGATAGTGGTTTTAAGCTTTTCTGTCCTGGGTGTTGGTTCCCCCCACCCCCCGCTTGAGTTCAGTTTTGTTTTTAGCCTCTTCCGGAAAGAGAGCTCACAGAGGCAGGAGGGAGACACCAAGTCCCAGCTAAGCAGCACTCCCTGATGTTCCCAGAGGACCTCAATGCCATCATCAGTCTCTATCTGCAGCTCTATCCAGAATCACAAATTGCTGTAAATGTTGCTCTTTACTTATAAACCAACACCAGAGGAAAAGTCTCTGCCCAGGGTGGCTTACAGCTGAAAAGGTGATGCAGGGAAACAGAAGGGGGAGAGGAAAGAAATGGAAGCAAGTTCAGGCAATTAATGAAGTCAGGAGGTGATATGCTCTATTCAGTCATTTAGGCTTCACGAAGAAAAGCATCCCAAATTCAACACTGGACAGAACCTTCATAATAGAGAAAAGTGTGCAAGCTTTTGAATTCTTTAGAGCTCTTTACCAGGCTTGCAGGTACCAAAGGTATAAGTTAAGAAAAGGAGAAGATGCCAAATTCTGGAGAAACCAGTTTGCATATTTCTGAGGCACTTATCTTGATCCCCAAAGAGGCACATGCATCTGGCTACCCTATGGCCCTGACACTGGGGATTGTGGGAAATTCTTCACAGACTGGGGAGGGAATTCAAGGAAACAAGAAGGGTGGCCGATGGCACGTGTGTCCTGGACAGCAAGCATCAAGAGTATCGGAAGAGTAAAGGAGCCATTTGTTGAGGGAGCAGGGGACCCTGAGGCAGCTGTGGAAGAAAGGCCGCAGGCAGGATTATCTACGTGGTAACTGGGCCCAGCTACTCCACAGCTGCTACATCCAGAGGTGTTGCAGATGAAAGGAGTCTCCTTAAAGCAGCAAAAGGTTACCTTTGAATGCTGTGTCCCTTCTCTTGAAACAACCATTCTGCTTTATGAGCTGACTTTTTTTTGGCTGGATGAAATTATGGGAAGTACAATCCCTTCTAGTTACTATATTCCCAAGGCTTCACATCCACCATCACTTAGGACACACCCACCTGGATAGATCTTGTTCTAAGTCTTGGACACGGGACTGTGCCTCCCAGAGAGAAGACATATGATCCTTGTCATCAGCAGGCATGGATGTTCCCTCCATCAGCCACCGATCTCGCAGGGATTTCCTCTTAGGACAGAGACAGAGGATGCATTTAGTGTCTGCTTTATACTGGACGTGCACACCATTCAGCCACATGGGCTATCGGAACGCATCAAGACAAATGAGTTTCAGTCAGAAGCCCAGGCATATGTACACATACATGTATTCACTCCTATGCTTGTTCAGCCACACCCATATATATGGTCATACACAAATGAAATTACACTTGAAGCTTTGTGGCTTGACGGCAGATGTTGGACACACCCACCAGTGCAGATACTCCGCTCCATAATGCATACATTTTTTCCCTTTCTCTCTCTCTCACCACCATCCACACACATATAAGCTTGTTCTGGGGGAAAACTGGAGCTCCTGAAGGAGAGATGGGATATAAAATTAACAAATAAATTGGCTCAAGGCAGAGCATCAGAAGGCTGCCGAACAAAACTGAATACAGTGCAAGCCCAATCAGCCTTCTGGAATTGCCATGGATGTGCCTAGCCCCAAAGGCTCTGTATGACCCACAGCCCGGTGCATCGCTGCCTCTTCCTTCCCCTCAGTTTGGTGTCGGGGACCGGCTGTCGCTTACAAGTACTTTCCTTCCCCCTTCAGGGCACCCCCCCAATCTTTTGGCTTCTGATCCTCCCGCAGCCATCTCCACCTCTCCGTGGTCCATCAATTCCTGTATCCCTTTCGTGGGTGGTACCTTGAGGCGTTGGACTCGCAGTCTCTCTTCCTCCAGCTCCCGCCGGGTGGCTAGGATGCGCTCCTGCAGCCTCCGCCGCTCCTGCAGCAAAGCAAAAGGACCGGGGTGGGGGGGGGGGGG